TATCTGCCTGTTCTGCTCCCCGCTCTGTCTCTGGTGAATCCTCTCACTGCCCCTGCACCTCTGGCCTGTGCCTCAGTTCTGTATGCATAAATAAATCAATCTTAAAAAGTATTATCAAGGTTGTTAGCTTTGGGTAACAAGACCTAATCCTATTAGAGAACTGTGGGTCTACTAATCCTAAATGGCCCATCCAGCCTCCATTTTATTACCTACAGTTCTGAATTCCTAAAGCAAGGTCAGAACTGCCTGGTCATAGGAGCCCAACCCTACAAGATGACTTTCACATCAATTAAGAGCATAAAGCTAGATAATCCTGGGAAGGGTGTGCATTGAGGTATAATTGGGAACACCCGGGGACTAAGGACAGCTAAGGATGGATGCATAAATGCCTTGGGGGCTGATCAGTGGACTGCCTTATTGATAAAACTGAAAACCTAACTGGGGAATCAGGGCTGGATTTACATACCAAGCTATCAGATGAGAAAAAGTTTCACCCTTCCCCTCCTTTTTCTTTTCCCTTTCCTTTTCTACTTCTGTTACATCACAGAGGACCACTCTGTTAAACTTCCTCATATGACTAATGCTGTTTAGTCAATAAAAAGGCCAGGATCTTGCTCTTGAGCAGCATCCTGCATTATGTAGCCTGCTCCATGATTCCTGTTTCTTTATCAGTGTGGGGGATGCTCAAAGCAACAGGGAACCCCAGGAGGCCAGTAAGTGAATTCATCCCTTACCCTTTCTTAATAGAAGCCTGATTCAGACAGGCCTACATGTGGTATATAACTCTAGGGAGGCCCTCTTGGCTCCAGGGCTGGACTCTGGTTGACTTAAGTGAATTTCCAAATCCATACCCTGGTCACATTCCCTGCTCATGTCCTCATTCCACACTGGGGTAAACTGTATGTAGCTACAGAGTCTAGTCAGCACATGTGTTTAGGACTCCTGTTAAAACCTTAAGATAAAAAATTCTCTTCCTTTATTGGATGGCATCAATAGATAAATGTCTCACCATCCTGAGAAAAAACCCAACATGTGAGTCAGGTGAAGTTGAAGTATCTGTAGAGAATGTGATTAAGGGCAGAAGGTGATGGAGGAAGGAATGCAGAAGAAGTATCACAAGACTGAGTCACACAAAGGGGATGAGTAGGAGGGGCTAGCACAGCAACTGACACAGCCATAACATCAAGGTCAACCTGTGCCTGGGATGCCCCCTGGATGCCTGAAGTTCCCAGCAGATAACAAACTGTTGTGGGCTGTGTCTGAACCTCAAATCCAAAAGGTGAAAGATGCAGACACGGAGATGAAGGTCATCAGAAATCTCTTTAGATTCTATTCAAAGTCAACAAACCTAGGCTCACAGGGAGTGAGCCCCTCCAGGGAGAGGCTGTCTATATTAGGGCAGTCTCTCCACCAGCTGGGGCAGCCACTCCTCTGCCCTCCTCTGCCTATGCAGGTGCTTCTTTCCACCTACTCTCTCCCTCTGCAGGGCAGGACTCCTCTGGACTGACCTCCCTCAATGGAGGCCGCGCTCCTACAACTGCCCGCCTGCAACCATGCAGGTCTCTTTCCCTGAAAACCTGTCCCTTTTGGGGCAGCTCTTCCTACCCACTTGTGTCCATCTATGCAAGTGTCTTTTCTCTCCTGTCTCTTTCTAATAAACTTCCTCTTTCAATATAACTGAGTCTCTGCCTCATGGAGAATCTCACCAAGTGCCACTAAAAGGGAAGCTCTGGTGAAACCCTTCCCAGAGTGAACCCTAGGACCCCAAATTCAAAAGACAACATCAGAAGGGGCCACTAAAACTGGCCAAGCAGAGGCCCTCCCTGGTGGTGCAGCAGGTTGAAGCACAGCACTAGGAAGCTTAAAGCCACTTCAGCATGAATTCAATCTTGAGAACCGGAGGTGACCACATGGCGTGGCAGATTTCTCCTGACCTACCCGCTGCTCCCCTCAGCAGTGTACTTCATCAGTCGGCCTGTTCTGCTCCCCACTCTGTTTCTGGTGAAGCCTCTCACTGTTCTTGCACCTTTGGCCTGTGCCCCAGTTCTGTATGAATAAATAAATCTTTTAAAAATATTAAAAAAAAACCAAACTGGCTAAGCACACTGCCCAAATAGTTTACCATCACTATCTGAGATCTTCACCCATGCACACAATGGACAGACCACTCAGGATGAGAGAATAATGGAATTTAGCTAACAAACCAGAGAAAACAAAGAGTTACTGAAGCTACAAATGGCCATTTACCTCACTGAAGCAGTGTCTGGTGTTTTAAAGTCCTAAACACAAACATTCCCATGATGGTGTATTCCTATCACTGTGGACCTGGAGCACGTGGCAACCAGACCATAGGCCAGGATCCGACTCAGGGAAACAGCAGGAGACCCAACAGGAGATACTCAACAGAGCTGCAGAGATGCCCCAGCACAGCAACACACAAGCCACCCTCAAAGCAACAGCTGCAGCAGTGGAATGACCAGACAAATGATGGCCATACTCATGCAGCTCATCACTGTGCCCTGCTCACGTTCTTCGCTTTTGCTGCCAGGCTGTAACAGTAGCAAAACTGGTAACAGTTTCAGTCAGTCACTTGGCTACTTGCAAAGCCTCCAAAGTTTTCCTCTCTGAGGTTGGCTGCTGGAAGCCTCCCCATGTTCTTCAGAGTCCCACAACAGCCTTCTAGAACGTGGGCATGGGACAGAAATCACTGACAAGGGATGGCTGAAGATGTGAAAATGCTGACATCCTAAAAGCTGAGACCTGGGACTACTTCTGCAGTCCTTCATATTTCTTTTCAGACTCTCCACCCCAATGATACTGTGTTCATATTTCACCTGAGGCTCTCTATCCTCACGAGCACCCCACTCCAGTGGGCACCACCTGTAACAACAGTCTCTGGCTTCAGCCACCAGTTATACAAGGACCAACACTTGAAATAGTGTGACTCCTCGGAGGTCGAATACAGATTCCCAATTCAGGTTCATTATGTAGTTCTTCTGAATTCCCAGTGTTCTTGTGATTGTGGAAACACAAGAACAAACCAGAATGAAGGCTAGCCAGCTCAGATTTATTGCAAAAGACTCCTGGGGGCAGTCCAAATGAGGAGCCATTACCTTCCGGGTAATGGTTCACAGGGACTTTTCCCCTTTTGATAATTCTGCACTCCCCTACTCTGCCTCATTGCTCCACTTTGCCACACAGAGGTGTGAAGCCACCACTAACTAGCTACTGTTATTTCTCTACACAAATCTGGTGGTAACCAGCCTCTGCCTGCTAGCTTTGTGGTTACCAGCCTTAGCCGGTCAGTTGTCAGTGGGGCACCCAGCCGCGGGCTGCTATCTTGCAATCATCTCTCTCCGACCATCTCTCGAGTTGTACACTCCATCACCAGGACAGGAATTGGGATACAGGCGATAGAGTGGCCACAAAGGTGAGCTACCGCAACCGTGATTGAAGATGTTCAGCGGCACTTATCGGTGCGTGAAGACAGGTGGTGACAGAAGTCGTGCGTGCACACGTGTGGCTCGACAGGCCCTCCGGCTGCGACCGCCAGGGTGAAAGATTTGCCGGGTCACGGAGGGGACATTCCGCTCACGCTGGAGCCCGGACGCGGACCTCTGGAGCAACAGCGGAGACGCAACCGGACAAGGGCGGCTGCGCAGGCCGCGGGTCCTCACCCACGACCCACTCGGGCGGGGAGGCCAGACCCCGGGAAGTTGGCTCTCCGAGCGCCACAGAGCCGCTTGAAGGCGGGTAGGCGTCGACGAAGCAATAAGCCAGTGTCCCATTGGCTGGCGCCGGGCTGCGGGTCCCTGGCTCCCAATCGGGCCTTTCAGGCGCGGTGGGGGCGTGGTCCGGGCTGCAGCGCCTGACCCGGCCGCGGGGACCCGGACGGAGGCCGCGGGGCGGAAGTGAGCGCTCCCGCGCCTTCCTCTAGCGTCCTCGGTGGAGCCACCGCCCATCTCCGGCCCGTAGTCTCCCCACCGTCGCCTCGGTCCCCGGCCACGCGGAGCCGGGATGCGCTGCTCCTGCTGTGGGGGCTCATCATGGAGACCAGGCGGGGGGAGATCCCCGGCAGCGTCCTGGACGACCTCTGCAGGTACGCGCCCTGGCCCCGGCCCTGGTCCTGGCCCCCGGCTTTCTCGCTGTCCCTGACCGGAGGCCCCGCCACACCCCCGTCCTCGCCTTCCGGTCCTTTGCTGATTCCCAGGAGGCCCCTCCGTGGACAGCACCCTCTTTCCCGCCGCAGCTCTTCTGTCCGTCGCCGGAGCGCGGGAATGAACTCGTTTTCTTAGTTTTCCAGCAATTTTGCTTTCCCGCCAATGACCCCGCTTCTCCACATCCTGTGTCTTCAGCCTTTCTTCGATCGCCCCTCCCCCTCCCATTGTTTTTTCTGCCTCCCCTAATTCTGTGAAAGACCCCAGGTTTTCACTTGCAGCCTCGGGTCCACTGTCGGCGCTAGGAGCAATTTTCAACTTACCCGTTCCCTGTGTGTTTCTGCACGTTGAAGTGTACTCTGTAAATTCCTACAAAAAAATTGTACTTTGGTCTATCCCCAAACTTTTTATCTGCAAGGAGCGTGGGGAATCTAGAGCTGCTTTTCCTTATTCTTAAAGGAAATTCTCAACTGCGGGATTTGGTCCACTTGGTATACTTTTCAGAGAAGTTTTTTGTATTCTTCACGCTTGTCAGCTGACATTACAAATAATAAACCACGTGTAAATGGACTTACAAAATTTTCTTGAATCCAGTTGTTTGGTTCTTTTTGCACGTTAATACCCTGAGCTGTTCGGTGTATGTAGGTTGTGAGTATGTCGGTTACCAGTGATTAAAATTCATTATATCTATGTGGTTTCTATAATTGTCATGCAGCTTTTTTTTTTTTAATAGGAAGGACAGAACTAACAAAGTAAAATAAAATTCATTGTGGGGCAGACACTAGATTGCTTCTTTAGCTAACATCACTTTATTGATACTTGAAACAGCCCTTTATTTGAGGACGTTATTTCCATTTTCATCTGATATAGCTTCAGAGAGGTTGTAATTTACACAAGGTCATGTTTATGGTAATTCAGAAAAACCAAGATTTGAAACCTAGGCCTTTTTCTTTAGTGTCTGTTCTTTTCCCCCTCTAGACCGAGTGTATGTTATTGGAGATCTAGTCATAAGAGTTGAAACCTCTTGAGAGAAGTATTTGTAGATAAGTAATTTTCAACTAATAAGAATGTCATTGTGCTTCTTTGGCCATGGTATAATTTGAGGAATATTATAGCTTTAATCGAACTACTTATTAAGCACTTATTTTCAAAGAATGTAATTTATTTAAGAAAAAAAGATGATATATATATATATATTTCTGTGAATGTACACAAACGGTTTTGTGATTTTTATTTTCTTCATTTTTTCATGGTATCTTTAGAGGATGTTGGTTTTTGCAGTTAAAAAATAAAAGATGAGTATTTGAAAAGTGAGCAACCATCTTATGAGGTTAATAGGGATACATGTTGATTTACAAAAGGACGTGCTTTATAAAACCAAAAAAAGGAGAAGATGATAATCTTACATAGGTCTGTGTTTAAATGAATCTTTCTACTACTACTGGTTGTATTTTGTGTATTAAGATTACACCACTTACAAGAGTCATATCCCCTATCAAGAAGGTGATTGAATTTAAGTGTGGAACCTATTTATTCACAAAATAATTATGTGGTATTTTAAAAATGTTAAGACATCTGTTAAGTGTTAAACTGGTAAATAAAAGTCCTTATTTGGTCTTCCATTGAGTATATTTTGGTTTATTTTTTAAGAGATTTATTTATTTATACAGAACTGGGTACAGGCCAGAGGTGCAGGGGCGGTGAGAGGCTTCACCAAAGACAGAGTGGGGAGCAGAACAGGCAGAAGTACATGCTGAAGGGAGCAGCAGGCAGGTCAGGAGAGGTCTGCTGGGCCATGAGGATCACCTCCCTGGCAGGGATCGAACTCAATGCTGCAGTGACTTTAGCTTCTTAGTGCTGTGTTTTAATCTGCTGTGCCAGCAGGGAGGGCCTTGGTTTATTTTTTTAATTTTAAATCTTTTGGAATTTTTAAAAAGAAATTTCTTTTTCAGTTATTATGTTTTGCCAATATAAATAAGGATACTGTGTTTAAAATATTGAGACCAAATAATTCTTAAATTTTCAGGTTAATATATCTTTGTTGATTAAATATACCTAATGTTAGTAATTCAGATTTTTGATTGTGGGTTCTTTAACAGAAATTATTGCACTTGGAAGTTACTTTCTACAAAAATAAAGTTCAAGTTGAAAAAGTCTCATTTTTCATTTCCTTGCCCTCTTTACGTACCTCTGATTGATAATACTGGTCTTTGACTTTTACTCCCTTCCTTTTTCCTTTGCTTCCTAAGTTTAGGAGGTTTTTTGTTTGGTATTGTTTTGATAAAGTTAGTATTCTTGACAGTCTCCCTTACTTCAGTTTTGGCTATATACGAGTAAGTTTTTGGAGAAATGTAAAATTTGAGATTGATTTTTAGCTGAAAAACTAGAGCAGAAGATTTAACTCTTTGTAACTCTTTCAACCTTTGACTTTGCTTATAACCGAAGACTTGGTGTGTTTGTGTTATTTTTTTCAAATGACTTAATATATAACATTTCTTACTGGAATAAGGAATTCCTAGGTCCCTTTTAGATTTATTTGTGCATACAGAACTGGGCCAGAGGCTCAGGGGTGGCGAGAGGCTTCACCAGAGACAGGTGGGGAACAGAACCGGCAGATCAACAAAGTACACTGCTGATGGGAGCAGTGGGTGGGTCAGGAGAGGTCTGACACACCATGTGGTCACCTCCAGGGCAGGCGGGAATTGAACTCATGTGGAAGTGGCTTTAGATTCTCAGTGCTGTGCTTTAACCCGCTGCGCCACCAGAGAGGTCCCCTTTTAGATTTTTAAAAAATTGTCTAAATCAAACACCTGAAGCTACCCATCCCCTCATGGGCAAAAGTCAATCCAAAAGGGATTGGTCCAAAGCAAGGCCTGAAAGCCCGCAACAAGACTAAAGTAACTTCTGGCTGGGACCCATGGAAAAGGGTCAGAAATGGCCAGACAAATCTGGGAGGAAAAGAGCAAAATCAAAATCAATATGAACACTGCCATAGTCACACCTCCCTACAGTCCCTACAGGTATCTCACCCACATCTGCCTTAACCAGTCCAGGGTCCGGAAACAAGCACGGTTTCTTCTTCACATGCTTGGTGCTCCATGTGGCTTCCTCAGGTTTACTTCTTGTTCTCCATTTAACTTCCTTCTCCTCTTCTCTCCTTTTTCTCTGCTCAGCTCCACCCTTTTTCTGGGTGGGTCTGGGAACCTGGAACTTCGCTTTTCCTAGGGACCACCCTGTTATATGTCAACAAAGTACATTGCTGAGGGGTGCATATGTTGGGTCAGGAGAGGTCTGCCATGCCATGTGGGTCAGCTCCCTGGCTGGGGATTGAACTTGTGCTGCAGTGGCTTCAGAGACCTTCATGTGTGCATTCATAGGAAAAGTATGTAAGAATATATACTAGGTTGGTAATAATGGCTACTTCTGGGTGAAATGGAATTAGAGGAAAGGAAGACTCTAAAGTTTCTACGAAAGTAAATTTTTCCCATTTCTGTTGTTAGTTGCCTTTGATAATACTGTATGTCGTGGACCAGCCCCATCACACATTGTTTGGGGGGCACAACAGGCAGGGTCTCGAGGTGGGAGCAGCATCTGAGAGAGGAGATTACTAAAAGAGAAAAGGGGAGTCAGCCTGTGGAAATGGGAGTTGGAGTTGGGTGCAAGTCTTCCTGTTCTGCCCTCAGCAGAAGTTTTATACACTTTAAACAAGCAATTAACATATGAATTGGGCTGAGATCATAATCTTTTTTCTGAGAGCAGTTTGGGGTAGTATTGACTTTCATTTTTACTAAGACATCTTAGAGGCTAAAGTAAAGTTGAGGATTAGGTTGGAGATTGGGTGAAGATACCAAGGATAGAGTAAGGTCTTGGGCTAGGGTGGAGTAATTCTCTTGTAAGTCAATCACAAAGAGATACAGTAAAGTTCCTCAAAAGCTAAATAGAGGATTTAGGTGAAGTTCCTTATTTGAAAACTAAACAATGGAAAACTTAAATAGTTCTTTAGAAACTGAATAGAAGGCTTATGTGAGATAGTAGAGAGATGAGATTTGGGTTCTAGTAGGGCAGTGTAAAAGAATTCTGATTATTTTAGTACTGCCTTGTCTTACAATATTAATTTTGTTATAATTGTTTTTATTAATTAGCCAGTTGTAATATTTTTTATTTCAAGAGAACTTTTCCCATCCTGGGGCAGAGCTTGCTCGCCTGAGCCAGGCAGCACCTTATGAGGCTGAGGCAGTCCACTAGAAAACTGATGGTTGCTTGGAATATTTGATGATTGTACAAAATAGGGAGGTCATAACATGAGCTAGCTTGGAAATTCTGATTTTTCAGAGCATTTCCCCTCCATCCAGACCGTGTATGATGACAGAAGTTGCATAGCTTGTATCAACTATAGTTTTTTGACATTAGACATCAAATACAGTACTTTTCAATACTATTTATTTATTATGAAGGAATGGAGGAGGTAACGCAGGCCTGAACAAAACTAGACTAGCCCAGGCAAGCACCCCCCCCC